TGTCAGTTTGCTATTAGTTTGTCTTCGGTGTGAGGTCTATCCAGTCTTATTGGTGCTTCCGACGTTTACAGGTTAAATAGGGAAGCTTTGTGAGAATCTCTCATGCATTTGTTCAATTATAGTGCTTAGATTGTTGTTTCTCCATAACGTTTGTTTTTCTTTAGATAATTGTTTTTGTGTTTGGTGTTAAACAGTTTCCCTGTACTTTAGAGCTTAGCTTCCCTCTTTTGTGAAAATATTTCTGGAGACATTCATGTTATCCACGGATAAATGTATTTCATCTTGTATCCGTCTTCACTTTATTAATAAAATTCAGATGACAAAAAATAGTATTTTCTCGGATACCAACTGATGCACTAATTTATATAGTAAAGGATATACATTTACCGGTGTCATTCTTCATAACAATATCAGATTTGTGATATTCGGATTCCAATGGCAGAAAGAATCACATTGCTATTTGTCAAAAAAAATCAAATACGAGAAGATTTATACATGTGAGAAATGAAGGATCAATAATTAAGAAATTGGGTCCCAAAAGCTCACATGATCTCCGAAAGTCATGTCCAATCCATCATTCAACATTTTGCAATAAGGTTGTTGACAAAACTCTTATTTTTTATTTGTTTTTCTAGCGACAATATTCCTCTTTAAAAGTTGATACTTTTAGAATAAGATTCCTAAGAAATATAGCAAAACAGTGATATAAAAAAATTATAAAAGAAACTTATCCAATGGCACTACTCCCAACTTCAAAATCTTGTATGCAATGTTTTTGGACAAAAATCTTGTAAGAAATATATGTTATTTGAAATATATTTTATATGATATAATAAGATGATAAATTATCACAACATATTTTAAATAAATTTATTGTCGCCCAAATATATATTTTTTGATTTTATTGGTTAAAATTACTTTTTAAAATGTTATCTTATTTGTTTTAATAGGTATTTTCTTGTTCTACGAAAAATAGCGATTTACTTTTAATATTATATAACATGTATGATTTAAATTGTATCTTATTATATTAATTATATTTAGAATAACTATTTTAAATACTCAAGACTTTAATATTTCCACAAAGCATAATTATTCGATAAAATTTATCTATCCTGGGTGATTTATCTTGTTAGAAATGATCATTTAAGTAGAAAGTTGAAGAAAGTAGTTAAGAACTATTAAAAATAAGGCATGTATGTGAAAAGTAACATATTATAATTCAAATTATGTGAAATATTTTTCGTATCTATTTGATAATTTTTGTTTATTAACAAAAATTAGAGGTGAAACTCTAGTTTCTATAAGTTTCTATAAAAACTACTTATCCAAAAAAATTTTAAAGATTTTTTAAAACCTTAAACCAAAAACTATCCCAGAAAAAAACAACTATTTAAGGTCATATATTTTTATTAATTTCTACCATACCTTATTAAATGATTTCACTATTGAATATAATTTTATTAATTGTTATTTATGAACTTTTTTATCATTTGTAATTGGATTTTTAGTTTTAGTTTTTATTTCTTAGTGATTTGCTATAGAAAATTTAAGACTCATGTATAACCCATGAGATTTTAAAAGTTGTGTATTATGAGTAAAATGTAGAGGATTCATATGTTCCAATAATATTAGATTTAAAAGAAGAATGAAGGTGATATCTCCTTGGTATATGGTACGCGGCTAAAAGATAATAGCGTCTCTACAGATGGTATCGAACGACTACTTCTCTCTTATGTACGTAAAACTTGGATCTCTTCCTAATGGCGGTGTTGGCGTCTTTGTGGTCTTTTTTCTCCGTTCGACTTTGGATCACAATCCTCCTTTCATCTTTATTTGATGGGGTTTAACTAGAAATCACCTCCAAGTTAGGCTTTTTGAGTAGGGTTGGTATGTTGGATCATTCCGTCTCAAGTCCAGTTCCATGCCATGTAAATGGTGGCTGGTTAGGGAGACTGTAGCTTTCACTTCCATCCTTCTCCTTTTATCTAATGCATGCATACACTCATATATGTATTATTAAACGGTGTAGATATTTATTTATTGTATCCAATCTTAAAATTTGTATGAATTGAGTATATTTTCGTCGTATATATTTTTTCTTACAAGTAAAAATAATTCTCGTTCCGTCATGTTTTGTTTCATTCCTTTTCTGGTTTTGATTATTGTTTCATATATACAGAAAATATCATGTTAACGTGTCACGCTTACATAACTTCTTAACTCATCTAATTAACTGTCAAACATTTATTAGAATATATACATGTTTTGCCAATAGTATTATCTGTAAATTGATTAACTACATATGCAATGAATTAATCCACAGTATTCCGAAATGGATGATGAGGACCTAACAATTTTCTATCTACATACGTAACAAGTCTATATAATTATGTTTCTATTTTAAATAAAATTCTTTTATAGGGTAACTATCATTTAAGAAAATAAATTTCTTTTTATAGGTATCAAAATACCAGATTCAATGAAAATTATTTGTAAGTCAACTTTTTTTTCTGGTCTAAGGCGGATCACACATTTTCATCAACTTTTTACAAAAATTTATAAAATGTTTGTTATTTAAATTAGAAAAAAATTATCGTTTTCAATCAATTTACCGGTAAAACAAATTCCAATATAAAACAATCGATGGTTCGAATTAAATAAAATAAAATATATTACATATATGTTTCGTAATACACTAACAGCTTTCAGTTTTCAGATAATAATAAAATAAATTTGTAATTAACCATAATGCATATACTTAGTAATCATTTTACTCCGCACATAATGCAGGTAAACTACCTAGTTCCAATATTATTTATTTAAAAACAATACTATTTTACGCCATTAATCGGACCTATAATATGTTATTTTGGTGATATTGGTATAATGTTATTAACTTTTCAATTTTGACATTGTAGAATGAAAAAAAGTATATAGATTTTGTTTGGTGGGTTGTGGAGAGTACAAACTGATACTGACAACTTGAAAAATACAAATACTGAACATGAACCATACTTGCGTAGACATTGGTTGTGAACTAATGGTTATAGGCACACCTGAAAGTTCTATTTGTTTAGAAAATTTAAATTTTAGTTAAATTCATTTAGTTATAGGCATATTTCAAAATTTTGTATAGAAATACGCCAAAATAACTAAGTTCGTGGAAAGAATCTGCCGTTTTCCCCATATTGGTTATGTAAACAAGTTCGACAGCATTTAAAATAACAAGAAAAGTAATATTGGTAATGGTAAAAAAAAAAAAAAAAAAAAAGTGAATGAGTCTTAAGAAACAATGATTTGAGAATAGTGGTTACCATTGATATTGCTTTGTGTTTGTGTTTGTGTTTTGTCCAACCAAATTGATTGGTATTACAAGAAGAGGGAACATGTGGGTGGGTATGAAGGCATTAATGATTAGTGAGTTACGTCAAATCAATTTAGGATCTCCACAAGAGAGAACATACCCTACTATTCAACCCATTCTTCTCCTCTTTCACACTTCTAATTTTTTTTTCCTTCGATGTTTAAAACATTAATTTGTCTCACTTTTCTTAACCACTTCAAATCTAGAACTACAAACAGTTTTACTCGTTCTAATATTTTTTAGAGACATTTTTTTTTAGTTCTTGACTTGAAAGTTGCTAACCTTTTGTATCACTCAATCAAAATATTTATTTGTTATCCGTATACTAACAATTTGAATCGGTATACTATTTCTTAGAAAGATCTAAAGTATTTGGGATTTGGATAGTGATAAATATTTTCTTTATTTGGCTGTATAAAGTTGTAATTTTTATCCTAAAAAATACAAGACCTCTTTACATAAAATAATGGTACCAACTACCAATTCAATAGCCAAACAAAATGTGCTATATACAAGGACTAGAAGAAACATAATCTAGCGTCTTGCTCATCATGCCTAATTATCACAAGAATAATTGAGAATAATTAGACAAATCTTATCTTGTTTAAGAAATTGGAGGTTGTGATAAGGAAGAAGGGATAATGGGACTGAATTCGGTGAAAAAGAAAAATAGAAAAATAGAAAAGTACATAAATTCACATGCCATGTTGGTTTGGGTAAAGCTTCATTGAAACGTCACATCTTCATCTCCATTTTCTTGAAGTTAAAAGACGTAAATAACCCATCGTTCTATCCATCCGTTTCACCATTTAACTTTTTTTTTTTTTTGATAAAATTTTGATACATTGATTTATTGGTAGCAACTAGCAAGCGGATCAAAACAAAAACAAATTACACCATTTTGAGAATCCAATTGAACCCAATGAAAGAGAAATAAGCCCATTTTAAAAGTAGTCCACTTAGCTGATCAGAAAAAAAAAAAAGAAGTTATCAGAGAAAATCGTAGTCCTCGGTGTTCGGTTATCTGATCGGTTATCGGTTCGGTTCTATTCAATTTCGGTTCTTTCGGTTCTAAAATTTAGTATCCATTCGGATATTTTAAAATTTTGGCTCGGTTTCGGTTCGGCTCCGGTTCCTTCGGTTTTATAATTTAGTATCCATTCGGTTGTTTTACTTTGGATATTTTCGGATATTTCGGTTATTTTTTGGTATTTTCGGATTTTTTTTGGATATTTCTCGGTTATTTTCGATTATTGTTACTATTTTTAGATATTTTTCAAGTATTTTTGATTATTTGGTCTATAAATAACTAATATTTTTGAAAATATAACTGTATTTCGGGTATTTTCGGTTACCCAAAATATTTCGGTTCGGTACCGATTCGATTACGATTTTTTCGGTTATAGAATTTAGTATTCATTCGGTTATTTTCAAATTTTCGGTTCGGTTCGATTCGCTTCTTTTTGCTTCGGTTTTGGTTCGGTACATTCGGTTCGGTTTATTTGTCCAGGCCTAGAAAATCGTATCAATGGAGAAGACAACCAAAGCCTACACCAAGACTAATTAATATCAAAAGACTAATATACCTTCTTGAACATTACCACTATACCAAGACCGATACTTCAAAATGGTGCCCCTTAAATTGTTTTTATTATTGATGTCTAAAGCCCCCCTCTACTTCACCTCAGGATTGGACCTGATTGTTCTCGACACCGACAAGGAAAAGAGTTCATGGAGACTGAAAGCAGAGAAGCCAGTTGTAACAAGATCTAGAACATAAATGAAGGTTGAATGGAGAATCTTCTAAGACAATTATGTCAAGTATGTTTAAGCACATATTAGAGAAATACGTTTTATCATCCAAGCAGGAGGAGAATATAAGATTTCAAGAAAGCTTATGAGATTGACTACGAGAGAGTTTGAAGAAGGTCTAAACTATGACTTAGCCACTCCATATCAGCATGTTTTGCTAGGAATTTGTGTTAAATGATTGAAATTTTGATGATGAGCTTGAGTTGGACAATTTATTGAAAAGGAAGATTGAAAGACAAATTTGGGCATACTCAAACAAGAGATAAAGAAAAAAAGAAATTGAAGGTAAAGAAAAAACTTTTCCTCCAAGAAGGACATATTTTCATGGGCTTTTTATTCATTAAGTCAATTTGATTTGGAAGATTATAAGACCACTAATCTTGAACATGTTAGGGTTTTCTTGTGAGCATATACACTATCTCTCTCTTATTCTTTTTTTTTTTTTTTTTTTTTTTTTTTGCATATACACTATCTTGATTAAATTTTAAACAATATCATCAATGACATGGTATTCACGTAAGGTATAGTGGACGGAATGTTAACGATATTTCGGGATATGCATTTTTTCACACCACGAAGATGTACCCAAATCTGTGTTTTCATTACTTTAGCTTAGGGTTCTGACCAGCTTTTTTTCTTCACGGACAAACACACACTGTTTTAGAATTTGTTTTACTTGGGCCTCACGTTAGGAGTTTAAGCCTCGACGAAGCCCAATAAGAGACACCTGAAATCGTGGTGTTACAAAAACCTCAAATATCAAGCCACAATTCAACGCTAAAAAGAACTGTAAAACATTTCACAACAAAAAGTGCCCAAAAAGTTGTAGAAATTTATAAAAGCTAGAGACAAGATGACCCCAAAGATAGATTCGAGATCATAAGAATTTGGTCGTTGGGTGTTCATTCTTTCCTGTGTGTCGGCGTTAACTAACGTCGTCAACATTGACGACGCGAATTTAAAAGCACGACAAAAGCAAAAGATGATTCACGTGTTATCCGAGGATGTTTTATTCAACACGACAATATTTCTATTCAATTTTGTCGACACATATAAATTAAAATATAATAGAGAATTGTAGTCGTCGAAGATAAAGTTATTTAGTTCTGTTTGACTGAAATTCAACTCTTCAACAACTTTTTTTTTGGGGTTTAAGACCATGAGCAATGGTGTGGGACAAATTTTGGTCCCTCAAATATTTTTTTTTTTTTTTTTTTTTTTTTTTTTTTTTTTTTTTTTTTTTTTTTTTTTTTTTTTTTTTTTTTTTTTTTTTTTTTTTGATAGACCCTATCGGCTGATCCGGTCGGCCTCGGTAGGAACGCACCGAAGTGCTACAGAGTGGACTTCTCCCGATCCAGGTAGAATTGGGCCACCACACTGCCTGATCCGAGTTTGGAATGCCTTCCGACTAATGCCAGGGGGTAGTCAGGCCGCCTGCATTTCTGACTACCAGGTAAACCAATTGGGTATAATAAAATTATTTTCAGAGTTTCTTAAGTTTGGTATTAGCATTGGTGTCCCTCACATTTTGTCCCCTGAATAAAATAATAATATTTTGATATTTAAAAAATTAATTATTTAAATTAATAAGTAAAAACATATAAAAGTTTTAATTAAAATAAAACATATAACATTAACATTGAAAACATATGAAAATTACAAAGTTACAAAAAGTTGGAAAAAAAAACAAAAACAAAAACTTATCAGATACATCAAAAATATCCACCAATGTGAAAGCCTCTTGTTGTGCCACCATTCTCAGACTCATCTGCTCCTCTCCAACTATTTCCCTGACAGTTTTCCTTTGCCCATATATCCTCTGCTTGAGAACCAAGACCTGCAGACAGATAAACCACAACCTAATCCTTATAAGTTCAACCTGACTCGCTTAAGACTAAACCAATAAGAAAGATTCAAAGGTTGATGCACCTGTTGGTATACAGAGACTAAAACCATAGATGGGATTTAAATTAGATAAACTTCAACAAGAACAAATTATATCCTCCTTGAGAGAGGTTGAGAGATGCTATGATTATTTAAATACATGTGTCGAAATTTGTGGGAGCTACAATAAGCATCAATCAAACGTTAAGGTAAACATTATATAACTTACCTCAACATCACTGATATGAGATAAGTCCTCTGCAAGATCACCATGAGAAGAAAAAACTCCTGAAAAGTTAATCACATCAGCTTTTAACTTTTAAGTATTAACTAGATAATAACAAAGACCTTCTACAAAAATTTTACTATAAACATTCATGGAAAGAATTCTTTGCATTTGTACCTTTGTTCCCGCAGACTTTGAGGTTTCTAGCCAATGGCTTAGATACTAAAACATTCACAACATGGTTTTATTCAGATGACCCAACCCAACCAACCAAACAAGGCAAGAAATAACCAAATGTAAGCTACAACAAACTCACCAGCCTTGTCCGTTGCCTCAATCAAATTCTTCTTCTTGGGCACTCTGTTGATATCAATCACAATGTCAGTAAGAGACAATCTCTTTAAATTCATCTGGATTCTCTCCATGTTAGGGGCATCCACAAGTGCCTAAAATGGACAATATAAACAGAAACTCTTAGACGTTTCAAAATGAAACAATACATAACTCATAATTCTTCTCTAGCATCAGAACTATTGTATCAACAAATAACACATTCTTCTATAGCATCATAACTATTGTGTTAACAAATAAGGTTAAGGAGGGTTTTTCCAAGAATGATTTCAGTTGATATTAGATCATAGTTATATTGATTACACCATATCGGAAAAAAAAACAGAGCTTGTATATGAAGTTACCCTGTTTTGGTCTACGAGGTTAAGACTATACGAATCAGCCACAAGAAAGATAACAAATTCCAAAGAGATGAGATCCGATAAAAGAAGATAACAAATTGATGACTTAAGATCATACAGTAAAACAAAATCAATTATAGCTTTTACTATAGCAACCACACTTCTAATTCTCAAAAATTGATTCCAATCAAAAGAACAATCCAAATCAATTCATAGCGGAAGCTCAAAATTGATGCCACAATCCTCTAAATCTGAAAATTTCAGATGGAAAAACCTACCTCGTTTATATCGGTTGTTGGTGGAAACTTTTTCAATTCAACGATACAACAGATCGGAGTGGAAGAGAGTGAAATACAAGACACGATTTGAAAGAAGAGGAGATGAAATAGCTGGACAAAGCTTGAGCCAAAGCTTTCGCCGACGAGAGAAAAGGAAGGCGAAAATCAATCGACGGCACAAAAAAAACACGCGACCAATCACGCGAGAACACGTGGCAGTGAGGGACGGTGAAGAAACGTTCTCTCGTGTGGGAACGGTTCTGTGTTTAATGAGGGTTTTTGATTTATTTTTAAAAAATAAATGGACTGGGACGACGCATAGAGCTGCCATTGCAAGTGCTCTAATAACAACAACTTATTTTGGATATACATCTTCTTTTCGGAACATTATCATTCATTCCCGAGATGAAGAGTTTATATTTTCGAAAAAGGAGTTACTAGAAATAGACAGAAGCTGTTAAAAGAAATAATTTAAAACAGAAGAGAAAAAAAACAGAGCTGATAAATATCCAACAACTTAACAAACCAAACACACTTCCAAAACAGTCACCGCACAAAAACAGAACCTATCTTTATTTTCTTGAGAGAGACAGAGAGAGATAAAGGAAAAATCTTTCGTTCTTGTCTGAAAAAAAACCTCACGACAGATCGGAGTAAGCTTATCAAGAATAATTGTTCAATCAGACAAGATCTGTAAGAAAATTATCTCACAGTTCTTTGTTTCAATTTTTGTTTTTCCCCTGTTTTTTGTATTTTGTTGGAGGAAAATGTGTTTTCATTTCTTAATTTTGTACACAACTTTGAATTTTATAATTCCTTTTCCCTCAAATTGTTTTTGAAAGGGTTTTATTATCCAAATAAACATCAACCAAATCTCTGTTCTTTTATAAATATGAACTAAAAGGACATTTGAGAAAGAAAAAAAATTGATGATAATTGAAATGGATTTTGTGCATAATTTTAATGAAGAATTTGTTTTCGAGTTTAGCATTTCGAGTTTTTTTTTAAATGGGTTTAGTGTAAGGGTCTTGTTTTCAATTATGGTGAATTTTGAGTTATTGAAATGGATTTTGTGCATAATTTTAATGAAGAATCTTGTTTATTTTTTGTTTGGTGAAAAATTGCAGTAGTTGGAATGAGAAGAGAAGTTGTTGAGTCGGTGAGCACCAATGCTTCTAATGAAAGGGTTCACGTGGCTCCCAAGATAGCTGCAGAGGAAGAAGATTATGAGGTGAAAGAATGCACTGAGGAGAATTCTCTCTCTCTGAATCATAAATCTTCTAATAAAATCATAGAGGTATTGTATAAAGAGGGAGATGGTAATTGAATGAGATTTGAAAATTGTCTTTGAGTCTTTTTGTTATTGGTTGTATCAGAATGATTTGAAGAAGAAGCATTTGGATGAAGAAGATGATTGTTCTGTCGCTTCTTCGGTGAAGAATGCTAAGTCTAAAGTAACTCATGGAACCGCTCCACGATTTAGGAGTGCTCAGCGCGCTGAGAAACGCAAAGAGGTAGCTTCAATTGTGTAATCTAATAGATAATCTATAATAAGTTAGTTATATTCTATTTTGTTCACTAATTTGGAAGTCTTTTTGTGATTTAAGTATTATCAAAAGCTTGAAGAGAAACACCAAGCACTTGAAGCCGAAAGGATCGAGCTTGAACAAAGGCAAAAGGCAAGAATCTTTTTAGTTACTAAATCAAGAAAATGTATCCTGAAAATCTAAAATGCGAACACAATTTTGCAGGAAGAACAAGAAGCAGCCATTAAACAGCTTCGGAAAAACCTTAAGTTTAAGGCTAATCCCGTTCCCGACTTCTATTACCAAGGACCTCCAGTGAAACCAGAGCTTAAAAAGGTATTAAATAGTTTCCGTGAAAATTTCTCATCTTTGTTAGGATTCAAGATTATGTCACATTTTTCTTGTGTGACAAGCAAACTTATGAAATGCTCTTTATGTAGTTTCCTTTGACGCGTCCTAAGTCGCCGAAACTCAATCTGTCCCGGAGAAAGAGCTGTAGCGATGCGATTACCTCGTCTGGTGAAGAGAATTCGAAGTCACAGAACCGCCACAGCGTGGTAGAATAGGGTTGAAAGCTATGAATGTGAATGATTGCTCTCAAGAAGCTTCCATGGAGGAAGAAGTTTACATAAACTAATTTTACTATCCCGGAGAAAACCAAACTTTTATCTCCTGTATTTGTTCGGTTTCACAATCGTTCTTCTCCAACGATTATTGATTGATTGTTTTTTGTTTTTCACGTCTGTCTCTACTTGATTTCGGTTTTAATTTTACGTAACGTTTAAATCTGAAACTGTATATTTTTACTGTGTTGTGGAATCTTGCATCTAAAGTTTGCATGGATTATGTCGGTCGTTGATTTATACGAACTAATAATACGTTTGTTGTGATTTTTAGATTTAAAGAGAATAGTAATTGTGATCTCACTAGCTTTTATTCCATGACTACTTCTACGATTCTTGTCTTCTTCGTTTTCTTCAACCGCGAAAAAGAACTCCGGTTTTCAACTTTGGTTCATGTGTAGAAGTTAAATTGATCAGCTCTTTCAAATTAAGTTTTATCTTCAAACAAACGATGCACTTGATATAAAAACGTTATATTTATTTTGAATATAATTTAACATTACATTAAAAAAATAATAAAGAACTCCGGTTTATGAGTATGTTCATGTTGTAATCTTTGATCGTTGAGATCATCTTTAAAAATACCTCTGGATTGTGGAATCTCTTACTAATAAAAGAAGCTTATTGAGGCTTCTCAATGTGTCCACATCGGATATTTCAAAAAAGCTCTCTCCAAATGCCATGTCAACAAGCTATTTATTTATTTTTTAAAATATTAAAAATATATTTTAAATAAACTTTGCCTAGAAAAGAAAAAAAATACATTCTTATTTTTCTCCAAATACAAAAACACTTTACAACTTTAAATTCTAAAAATAAAAAATCTTGATTTTTCTTAGATTCCAATTAAAATGATTTAAATTAACAAAAAAAGTAAAGTGAAATGATTTAAAAGAAATGGAATTTTTTTATACTTACTTCCGAGGTCACAAAGTCCAAATTTTAATGAAATTTCAATTAATTTTAGGTCATATAATTAATTATTTTAAATTTAATAATTGATTTGAGGTAGATTAGGAAAGAACTAATTTTGAATACATTAGAAATCTTTATGCATAAGCTAATCTTTTATAAAATATTTAATAACTTTTAGGTCATATAATTAATGACTATAATTTTAAAAATTGACTTTAGGTTATTTAGAAAATAACTAATTTTGAATACATTAGGAATCTTTATACATAAGCTAATATTTCTGTGGAAGCCCCCTTGGCCCATTGGTTGACCAAAGGTTAATTAATGCTTCTACACCAAGAGGTCTAGGGTTCGAGTCCCAGATATTGCGATTTATTAATAAATTTGCAGATTAAAGGAGGCAAGTGTGCAGGAGATCTCCAGCGAAGTACAATTATAGCCGTTCGCCAGGATTCTACGCAGAGAGAGAAGTGTCGTCAGGTCGTGGATCATTGAAGGTGTCCGTCAAGAATATGGAGAAGGAAGTGTCGTCTGTCGTGGATCTAATTAATAAGGGTCGGAAGGAATTGTCCGTTGTAGAATCGTCTATGTAACAGTTCTCATAATTTGCAATAAATAATAAATCTAGACGTCAAAAAAAAAAAAACTAATATTTCTTAAAATGTTAAAAATATTAGTTTGGTAAGTTTATTCAATGGTAAAACGTGATTGGTTTTAGTTTTAGAAAGATAAATATAAGGATAGTAGAATTAAAAATGTTTGGCAAAGAATATAGTAGAACTAAAAAAACAAAATAGTTGAGAAAAAATGTGAGGTTGCCACATAAACACTAACAACTCTTTTTTAATCTATACTATTAATTGGGAATCACTCAAACATAAGTAACCTTATTTTGGTAGATTAATTACAAAGAATGCCATTAGTATTTTTGAATTTGATAAAAAGAAAAAAAAAATCGCAAAAGGGTATTTCGGTCTATCTCATCGAAAAAATCAGCGGATCTTGGGTTGACCCGTTGAACCCGGGTCGGATAAACACGCGGATCCTTGCTAATTAAAAAAAAAAAGGATTTTGGGTTGACATGTTGTCGTTGGATTCGGATTGGATCTAAACCGACCCAGTTACAGAGACACGTGTACCTATTCTAATAACCCGGATCCAGATGACATTAATAACAGTTATTAATTCCAAGATTTTGATAATATTGCAACCATAAATTTCGGATATATTAGTAAACAGTAAACACAAATCCGATCATTAATTTATGTCATTAAAGGAAAAGAACCATTTACGGAAACTACGAATCATCATAATATGGTTAAAAAATATTATTACTAAAACTGATTCCTATTAAATCGTGATTTAGGAAACAAAAAGTTGATTCCTAAAATTGATTCCTAAAATTAAATAACGATTTGAAATTTAACGCAAGTCATAATCTACATTCTACTAATTTGATTTTAATACTAAACTTGATTTCTTAAAATATCTTTACCCAATTAAAACCAATATACTGATAATAAAAATAAAAAACAGAAATAGAAATATGTTGTCAATAATTTCAAAGATACAAAATATATAAACAAGAATATTTAAACCAGAGATTTGACCTAAACATTTGAACTAAGAATCAATTAAGATATTGAATCATTTTTAAAATTCAAAGTAGGTAAACCTTATTTTTCTCATTAACTTCATTTTTCCCTATAAATATATAAAATTAGACTCACAGAGACTCATTAGCCCACCTTCTTTAAAAATCTATTTATCAAAGAAAAGGAACCTACTTTCTTCTATTTTTTGCTTTAAAATGTTGGCTTTATGATAATTTGTTGTTATATGTTTGCTTCTAGAGAATTTTACATACGTTTTGTTCTTTTTTTTTTTATAGGTGAAATTCACTATATGAGACCATTTTCACGAGAAATCAAGAAGAATGTAATGCAACATTTAGACTTGGTGTCCAAGTTACACGATATTGAGTTGTAGTAAGTATAGATTTTGCTTTGATTATATTTAGACATCGTTTGGTCTCTTTGGAAATCATCGATTCAACTTTCGTTTTTTTTTTTCCTACAATGTTAAATCAGATCGAGATTTAACGTGAGATTTGCTATTTCATCTGGATTTCTGACTTATCAAGAAATGCATATGAGTTCTGAAAAAGTCAACCTCGAAGATGACATCAGCCTTAACAAGTAACACTCTTTCTTATATTTATATTTACATTTTTCTTTGATATGTTATTACTCAATCGATGAAGACATATATTATAATTTTGTAAATGTTATAAAAAGTTAAAAATATTAATCATATTTAAACGCAATACAACATTAAAATATACACAAAGCATATCCATTAGATATGAAAATTATTCTAAGTTTATGATATATTAAATGAAAATCTTAGATATAATTTTTGTTGATGTGTCGCCACTGGATGCTATGGTTATTGTCAGCATTTATAAAATAAAATAAAAAGGTTATTAGAATTTAATCAATTAAACATATTTAAGTGTTATCTTTTGTTTATAATTTCTACAAAGAAAATCGTGGCAAAAAATCACTTTAAACCAATAGGGAAAGTAACCAATCATAATTCATACAAAATTTGAAAATAGTATTTACTCCTCAAATCATTTTTGACCATACTGTCAATTAATTTTATATTTTGGTTAATTTATCTACGAAAATAATAAAATGATTTTTTTTGAAGATTTTGATAAGATTTGTTTTTTTAAAATTTTTGAGAAATCTTATTAAATAAACTCTAAATTGTGGAGCTATGTCATTATTTATTGATAAGTCGTTTAGCCGGTTTCAAAAGCGGATCTTGCTTGTAGCACAACTGTATTTTCTTATTGTTATGATCTAATAAGGTTTCCATAACGTCAACTTGAGACAGCGGCAGCAGTAGAGGTGAAATAGTGTGGGAATATGTAATTTGGATAATTGTTCTTAAGTTTGTAAAAAAATATGATACTATGTTATCTATATTATTTAATACAATTTATTATTATAAATATACACCAAACTTATCTCGCCAAAATCCAACTATGTTTTTATACAAACTACACCCAAATACATATTTTATCGACCGATTAGATTTGTTCACCATACTAATATATTCAATCATGTAATTTGTCACATATATATATATATATATATATATATATATATATATATTTTTAATAGTCATATCAATTTCAAATTGATACACACACATTGAAAACCTATATGACATAAGTTTTATACTCAAAAATCGTATGTTAACAAACGTGCGGGTCCGGATCTAGTATATACATAATTGGACAATATGCTACCAATCCAATAACACAAAATTAGCTTCTACACTATATATATTGCCTAAATAAACTATACATTACCCACCCATTAAATTTAATATGTTTACTACACATAATCCCAACTAATCAATCAAAATCAACAAAAAAGTCTATTCAATACAAATATGTAAAAAAACGAAACCTCAAAGAATAAGAAAAAAAAATAGTGAAAAAATCCAAAGTTTATTTTGGGTTAAGAAAAACTAATTTTATTACATTCCTATTTAATAAAATAAAAAAATATTAAAAATAAAACTAATAAAATTTGATCTCAAATATCGCAAATATGTAGTATGTAAAAACATAAGCAATTCAAACTAATTTTTTATTTATACATAGGAAATTCTAAAAAAAACAATAATAAACATAAATTAAATTTTAAAATATCAGTAGTTAGAAATATAGGCGTTGCCCGGATTTTTCTCTAGTGGACGATTAAAAGCAAAAAAATTTTTTTGATGATAACGAGTATTCAGGTCGAGTAAGAATATTTATGATATAAAAAATTATATCTAAATTATATCTTTAAAAGATAAATCGAATAGGAAATTAGGATAATTATGATCAAATTCGTGCTCGGGTATTTAAGATAACTAAGAATGATTATTCTGACCATCTATTGAAATTATCTTTTGATAAACTTTCGAGAATTTTAGTAACTTTAAGAACTTTAAGCTAATTTAGATAAAAAAAATTTATTTTAAGAGCATATGTCAAACTTGTGCTTGGGTATTTTGATTCCAATTTAGTAATTTTGATTTGTTTGAGTTCAGTTTTTTCTATTACTTGACAAAATAATTTTGAAAAACAAAATTCACAACCTGAGGGAAATCCTACTGAAAACAAATGTGACTTGCAATTTTGGGATAAATTTAGTTTGATTGTAAGATAATTCATCCAATAATTTTTTTTTTGGTAAGGATAATTTATGCAATAATTATTCTTTTGCGTAAAAGTTTCTATATGTATAAATTTACTTGAGCGGATATTTAAAATATTTTTATAAAATAATAAAAATTTCATTAAAATAATAATAATTAATTTAAAAGTGTATGTTTTTATATAATAATTCTGTTTGATAAAATAATATAAGATATATTAACTTCAAAATTCACCCTTAAGTTTTTACGAGGTGCAAGTTTTTTTCCAGATTTAGTTGTTATCATAGTTTGATAAGATTATTATTAAAATATAAAATTGAATTTTTTTAATTTTAATTTAATAATTTTGTTTAAATTTTTTAATTTCAATAAATTTTTTACAACACTTATAATTAATTTGTTTTCAAAAATTTAGCCAAATTCAACTATTACAATTCAAATTATAAACTATGCCGATAGATACCAACATATTTAATCAAATTCGGTTGGATTCAACCATGATCATTTAGACATATTATTTATTTTTTCTTTATTTTTTTTATTTTTTTTTATTTTGCATATAATTCAAACACATATTACTCCATCGAATAAGTAAAATATAAGAAGAAGCTAAATTAGTTATAATGAAAATAATCCTTATTATATTTTAAAATATTTATAAGCTCAACATTTATTTTACCATATTTTTACCGTGGTTATATCACTTGACATATTAAAGACATTCATTGTTTGCAGCGCAACCCGTTAACTGTTTATTGCCGGCATTAGGACCAATCGTTGATGTAGTATGAACTTGATGGTTTATGGGAGGAAGACAATCACATTCAGGTGCTCTGTCACCAGGGCAATGACAAAGTGTTGGTTCTGGCTGTATTCTTCCTAGTGCTTCAGATTCCGATGAAAAATCTGTATGCAAAAAATTTAAATATTAAGTAATGTTGCACAAAAAAAGAAACAATATGATCTCGAATTCAAAGCTATGGTGTATGTATATTCATACAAGATAAAACAATAAGAGCAAATACAAAATGAATAATAAGTTTCGCCATAACGTTTGAGTTTTTAAGAGTGAATAAACTTTTGTTTGGTATGAATAGTTTGCTCTCTCTACATATATATATATATAAGAATTTTGTAAACTAGATAAAAACGTACGAAGAAATTAAGAAAGTTTATTACTACTTAATGGACTTCATAAATTCACACGTTACATAAATATTATACTTTTATTATGTAATATGCAGAAACTTTGACTATTTTTAGGTCTAATTAGCTAAAAAATGCTTTTATACTAGATTTTTTTTAAAGCTAATTAGCTCTAATAATAGTCATAGGTTGCTCATGTTTTAGCTAAGTTTGGTTGTGTTTCATCTCCTTGTTACGCTAATTCTGTTTTTCAGCCATTGTGGCTAGAAAACAAATTTGTAATGACATTTATTAGTTAATATAATTTCTGTTTTGACGAAAAAAAAATAGTCATAGTTTCTGCATCATGCAAAATAGTCAAAGTTTTGCATATGATATAATAATAGTCAAAGTTTATGTATATTACCGTCCTGTGCCTGAACCAGTTAAAAATCTGGTGGTTCAAAAAATATATATTAGTATTTTTGAAATACATTTTGTATTTGGATCGGATCAAAGCATTTCTGAAATATTGAATTGGATATTCATATAATATTATATATTTAATAATATATATATTTAGAAGATTTGGTTAAAATTTAAAATTATGATTTTCCTATCATTTTTTGTTTGATTTTTTATTGTTTTGAATCATCATATAATACAGACGAAAAAAAAAAGAATCATCATATAATACATAAAGTAAAGAAAAATTCTCAAATTTTTTTCCTGCATATATTATGATTCGAAATTTTAAAAACATATATATATATTACTCAATTAATGAAAAAGGTGTGTGTTCAACGTCCCACATCTACTAAAATGTTTAGAGAATGATTCAGAATCATATTATAAATAAAATCAATATGAATCCAAATCTGAATGAGCAGGAAGCTTAACTTAACAAGCATCAATATTTAAGAGTTTGTATACGGTATAATTCGGTTTTTTAGTTAAACTGTTTAATTTTATCGGAAATATTAAATTTTATACTTTAATTAGTTTTAAATATTAGAATTGATATATTTAAAGTCAAAAAAAGTTTATAGTATTATGAACATTTGAATAAAAAAAAAAATGTGACAGGTGATATTGCGGGACTGGTTTATATGACAGAACGAGTTTGAATTAACATTAATAAAAAATTGAAAATATCATTAACCCGCCGTTTCAATACGGGGCAATTCCTCATTTTATTATTTTTAACACCACCAATATTAGACATATCGAATCAGATTGATTTAGATAAAATTGTAGTATAAAACAAAATTTGTCCCGTGGTATACGGTTACTTATTAACAATTATAAACTATTAAATATAAAATATCTTATAAAATGATACAATTTATAAACATTTATATATAATACATAATTATTAAATTTTAAAAATCACTAATTTTAGAAAATAAATCATCCCGTTGTGTAGCTGAGTTAAAAATCTAGTGCTCTGTTGAAAATGTTTCCAAGATAGTGGAATCATTAGATTCTGATCAGGCCGAAACGTAGGATCAATTCAGATTTTTTTTTTTTTGATTTGATTTGAACTCGTAAAGCTTGAGCTTTGTTTTTTTTTTTTTTTTTTCTCCTCTGTTTCTTTACATCTTTGTTGTGTTCTTGCGAGTTCCTTGAACGATATTCTCCAAGTCTCCTCAGCGAATTGTGGTGATCGAGTTTTTGCCACTAAAGTTGGTGCTTTCCACGCAACACAGTTTTTCGATTGGTCTGTTTGTTTTTTCTCGCAAGCTTTCCTTAATTTGTCAATGTGGAATCGGGCTTGGTTGGTAGTAGCTGATGTAGTTTGCAAGATTAGCTTTGTGTACTAACATACATTGGAGTGAAACAGAGGAACCAAATCATATAAGATTCTGAGAACTACATCAGTTTACATTTTCTCAACAAAGGCAAACCTATTGAATCAACATCTGATGCAAACCAAAACAACTACATAATGCATATATAACTAAACCTCTATGTAGATAAAGCTGAAGCCAAATTGTTATGCAAGAGAATCCGAGTTCACGAAGTAGAATATACAATTAAAGATCGCAGCTACAAAGCCGGTTTAATCAATCAGGTATGAGCTGATTGAGAAGAGAGTATTCTTGAATGGTTATGCTCGCCTTCATAAGTCACAATTAGCATCGAAGTTTCGTCTACACATCGCTCAACATGCTTCCTCGCTGGACAACCGCGCACACTGCTACATTTATAGTATCCCCTGCAAACAACAAAAACAAGAAGCAAATTACAAACCAAACATAAGAACAAGTCCAATGTTTTCTTCTTGTAATGTTAATTTACCTAGGATGAGGAGAACCCTTTATCGGCTTCTGTCCGTATTTCCTCCACGAATATTCATCAGGAGGTATATCCGCAATCTTGTTACTGATTGCCGGTACTTTGATCGTTCGCTTCACCTTCAGTTTCCTGTAAACAAACACGAAAACATCGAATCAAACAATCTCTTAGGACACTTTTCTCTCAAAGAAGAACAAAGCCAACAAACAAACACCTTTTCTTGGAACAATGACATTTGCTTCTACTTCCACATTTCAAACTACCAGAGCAACTAGTTCTCCTAGAATGTTGTGATATATGATCGGATCCTTGAGGTAATCCAATCAAATGAAACGAGTTCCTATCGTAATCCGTCACACTACCATCCATACTAAGAGATGAAACAAACGATCTTGACCCATTTGACATAGTTGGTGAATAACAACTACCACCAATAGACCCATCAAACTTTAGATTCAAACCACTTTTGCTCCTTGAGTACACTCCTTGCTGATGGTTATGAATAACCTGATAAGGTTTTGAATCAACAGCTCGAAAAGACGGTGGCTTTAGCTCGAGAAACGACTTGTCAACACACATTTTCTGGTTAAGCAACATCATTGAAGGATGACTAGCTGGTACAATCTGAAGAGGCTTTGGTGCTAGAACTGGAATACAACCACTTATAGCATTATTACTGCAAATAGGACTTTCTAAGAAGATGTGTTGAGGCAACAAAGAAGAGCTAAACTTGTAGTTGTTGTTGTTGAGTTTCTTAATCATCCTTTGACCTAAACCTCTAGTCAAAAGAGTGGAGACTCTCTTGAACTTGGAAACTGCTTCTCTTGTTTCAACCATTATGGATTTGGAATCATTGGTTTGTTGTGATAAGAGATTCAATACTCCATGACAGCTTTCCACTGCTGCTTTGTTTGCAGCTTCAACTTCTTCCATATTTATTCCCCAAAAGGAAACTAAAAAAAAAGAAAAACGTCTCTCTCAACTCAAAAACCAAATCACAAGCTTGGAAAAACCCAAAACTCAAACGTTAAAAACCCTTTTGGAAAATAAAAGAATCATCATCATGACCTAGCGCAAACATTGGAACCATAGAATGTAAAGGGGTTAAGAGGTGAAATCTTTATCAATAATTAAGGAAAAGAAATAGCTCAGGAACAAGGAATCTCCCAGAAATTAAGGGTTAGAAGCAGAAATTATTTTCTCACTATAAAGAAAAGCTTTGAGAGAGGTGAGAGAAGAAAGAGTGGAGATGGTCGTCACTCATCACAGTGGCAGAGGAAGGAGAGAAAAACAGAGTTCTCTGTAAAAGATTTTGGTGGTGGGTTCCATTACTGGACCTACTTTACATATACCTTTTTTTTTTTTTTTTCATTGTCTTATAAAAAATAATATTTTTTTTCAGTGACAACCAAAATAATATTTTACAAAGAATATTAGGTTTCAGACAATATGTCTATCTATTATTTATATGTATTATATTATTTTTTGTTTTTTTTTATATTTAATGTTTAAAATTTTACACACTAATTAATAATTATTTAATTTTTATTTATATTAAACTAAAATATCATTTATTATTTACTAAACACGATTCGACCAATAATAAAAAAATTTAAAAATAATTAATATTACATTAAAAATTAAATTATCAATTATTTTAAAAGGGTCATTTATTATTTATTATTTACTAAACACGATTCGACCCAAAAGATTGAAAAATTAAGAATCTATCTTATGATTTTGTTTAATTAGTTATTTTCTTTTGCCTCAAAAAATGCCAACAATACCTTATGTGCACGCTAACAAACAAAATAACGAGATAATAAGTTTAGATTTAGCAGCAAAGTTTCGATATGTCTAATATTGGTAGTGCTAAGAAATTAATAAAATAAAGATTTAACCGTATTAAGGTAGCGGGTTAGTGATGTTTTAATTTTTTTTTATTCAAACTCGTCCCGTCATATAACCCTGTCCTACAATATAACCCCGTCCTGCAACATAACCCCGTCCTGCAATATAATCGTCCCATGTTATTTTAACTCTTTATATATGTTCAAATGTTCTTATATTATAAACTTTTTATTGATTTTAAATATATAAATTATAATATTTAAAACTTCTTAAAAACTCGTTCCGTTATATAATCTTGTCTACCAATATAACCTGTCTCGTGTTATTGTAACTCTTTATATATGTTCAAATATTCATAATATTATAAATTTTTTATTGATTTTAAATATATGAATTATATTATTTAAAATTTTTTAAATGTTTAAGATTTAACATTTCCGGTAAAATTAAGCAGTTAAACTAAAAAAACGAATGAAACGGTATCTAATTTTAATTTTGGATGCTTATTAAGTTGAGGTTTTTGTTCATTCGAATTTGGATTCATTTTGATTTTATTTATAATATGATTCTGAATCAATATCTAAATATTTTAGCCGATATGGGACGTTAAACACACAGTTTTTTCATCAATTGAGTAATATATATATATATTTTTTAAAAAATTTTGATTCCCAATATATGCAGAAAAAAAATTGATATTTTTTTTTAAATTTATATATTATATGACGTTTCAAACAGTTAAAAAATGTTCAAAAAAAGATGATAGGAGAATTGTATTTCTAAATCTTAACCAAATCTTCTAAATATCTATATTTTTAAATATGGAATATCCGGTTCATAATTTCGGATATGTTTTGACCCGATTTAAAAAAGATATGAACTATCCGGTGTAAGATTTATGAAGTAAATTTCTTATCGGGTCATGTACCAAATTTATCGGATAACAATTAATCCACCTGCTAAAAATGTACTTCAAAATACTAGTATAGATACTTCAATAATTTATTTATTATCACTAACTTATATATTAGCATATTTGTCTATTTATTATATTAACAGTGTAAATTGTTGTATTGTGATAATTTACAACTTATAGAGTAAACTTATATTTATCGTGTTAAAATATTTATTATATGATTGATATCAGCTAACTTATATATTAACATATTTATATACTTTAATAATTTATTTATTATCGCTAACTTATATATTAACATATTTATATACTTTAATAATTTATTTATTATCGCTAACTTATATATTAGCATATTTGTCTAGCATGATAATTTATTTATCACATTTAACTTATAAGTTAACATCGTTGATAATATTATCTTCCCCACACTTACGACCGCTGAAAATATCATCCTCACCATCAATATCGATACATATCATCATTGTTAGCGGATATGGCACTGAAAATCAGCGGAAATAATGTTGAAGAAAATGCCAACTATTTATATATAATTTGTCGATATCTATTTCATTTTCGTCAAATTTGCAGCAGCTAAAAGAGAGAACTAATTAAAAAAAACTATAGCTAAATACTTAATTTTTTAATCATCTAGGGTCATTCTTTTTTTTTTTTTTCACTGAAAGATTTTCATTATATTTTACAAGAGTGGAATACATGGGTTGAATACGTTTTTGGGATGCGTTTTCGAAATACAATGCCGGCGGAAAACAAAGAAATCCCCGGAAGCTAAACCCCGATACACGGGAAACATAAGAAAATATACTAAAGTCAAGAAGTGAAGCTCTCGAAATCATCGAAAAAGTCGGAGGAGAACAGAAACCGCGGAAATAAAAGTTCAAAAGCGCAAACTAGAGGACCTACCACCGCAAACGGAGAAGGACCAAGGAAAGAGGAAACCGCGAAGACATATCCCAACTAAAAATGATCATCCCAAACATATGAAGCAACGCCGCGAATCTAATACCTAACCACCTAGTCTTCTAACAAACAAGTCTAAATCTAGAACTTTGCATCCCCACAAGAGGTTAGCCTTACAAGAACAGAAAAGGAACAGACCACGAGAGAAAACCTACTTATTAATCTAAACTAGAGAAGGTGGAAGGAGACAAACTTAAAAGATTCAACGAACAAAGAAGAGATAATGTGAAAGCTATCCACAACTAGCTAACACGACCAATCCCCAGAGTTTTCTAGAGATAACAGAGAGCAAAACCATGACCAAGCAATTCCAAAGACTAAACCAACAACAACTACCAAAAGCTAACACAAACAAACAACTAAAAACATTTGATAAGAGAAAGGCAATATGAGTTTCAACCCGACAAGGAACATAAACGAAAAGCCTTTGTCACTTCGCAACCACCGGCGGCGGCCAACAAAAGACAAAACCACAACCTAAAATCCGCAAGAGACCACCACACCAACTCTTTAAGCAGATCCATCCGCCACCACTTCCAGAAACGAGAAACATGCCTCTCCAGAAACACCACCTTGATAAGCACCGGTAACTCCTCCACAAAACAGATTTTGTTCTCGAGAAAATCAGATTTGAGAAGAGACTTAAATCGAAGGCCATGTCGTGACGAGGAGAGGAACCACCAATTCATAGCACCACTCAACCCAACTTTAAGCCAGAAGCTCCATCGCAATTGAACCACCGCAACCTAGAAACCCATCTCGCCTTCTCGAATCTTCAGTCACAGCCGCACCAAACATAAAATGAGAAACAAAAGCGAAACTATAACAGGGACGAGGAGGCCGATCCGGTGCTAGGATAGCCACTGCAATCTGGCCTCATATCTAAAACTATTTTTTTTTTACTGGCGGCTGTCTCTCTCTCGAGAAACGAAGACTAGGGTTTTTTGATGACTGGATTAGTGCAATCTGATGCGGGATCATTCTTTCATATTACTCTTTTTTAAAACATTAAAAAAAAACATAGTTAGTATTTCATAGTACAATAATTTTCAAATTACAAAATAATATGGCCAAACTAATGCTAGAACTTAATGATAATATATGTGATACTAGTTGATGTTTAAAATTTTACACACTAATTAATAACTATTTATTACCAAAGTACATTATATTAATATATTATCTTCATTTTACCACCGAATTTATTTATTTTTTCTCCGTTAGTAGCCGTAATTTTCTTGAGATAAGAGGAAACTGTCAATGGTTTCACTTTCACTTCTGTATTCTTCAGAATCTCAAGCATGCAACTTTAGGAAGATAACGGTTAAGATCTGGACACGTGTCTCTGTCTTTTTCTCGTAATTCGTGTAGCAAGAATGTTGACTGAACATGCAATATTGTCTGTTTCTTGTCTTATCATGAAAATGGAAACGTTCACACAGCTTATAATAACATAAATGGTTATTAAAGTTAAAAAACTAGTTACTCTTAAATCATAATTAGCACAATTAGTTAGTTATGTTCTTTTTAGTAAAGTAAAAACTACGGTTTTCTGAAAAAAACTCTCCAAGTTACCATGTTTTACTTTTATTTCTAAAATATAGAATATATTTTACGAAATTAAAAATAATACGTAATATAATTTTTATATGTATTTTATAAAAAAATTTATGGTTACATACATTATATTTTTCATAATTTTAAAAATGAACTGAAACTCATCGTCGCAAAGATTTTGATTTGATATAATTTTTCTAAAAAATTTACTTAACAATTATGAAAATAATATATTACGTATTATTTTTAACTTAACGAGCTCGACTTTCAATTTTTAGAAAAAAAAAATTAATTGTAAAAAATAACGATTTAGAGAAATTAATGTTAACTTAAAGTATTCTTTAGACTTTGTAATATATTTTCTAAATAACTAATTATTATTATTAATATTATAATTGATATTTAAGGGTGCTAAGTTTATAAATTTTAACTAAAATTAGTTAGAAGTAAATAAAATTATGTTTATATTAGTTTGTCATTCAAATTTTTGACATGAAAGTTTTACACAATTTGTTAAAATAACAAAAAAAACGTTTGAAAACAAAATCGTATGCGATGACTAATAAAAATTAGGGTATTTAATTAGATTATTTATATATGACAACCAATAACTTTAACAACTTCACGCTTCGTGTCTATCACAATTTTGTTATTTTTGGATGTTTATTATATCCCTAACATCTAATTAATAAAGAATATTTGAAAAAAAAACACATATAAAGAAAAAAAAAGAACAACATGTTATGACCAACGGATATTTTTCGGCGTTATTTAACGAGAGAAGTCTCACATCACAGAAATATATCACGGAAGACTTATTTGTTGTTACTTGTTAATTATCAAGAATAAAATTTAAAAGTTTAATTTGTTGCCCATAGATTAAAAAAGTGAAATTGCAATGAAGAAAAAATAGAATCCAAAGGGAGACTGAGTTGACTTGGCAAAGATTCTCTTTGCTTCTTGTCATGTAATGAAACTGTTTGTTTCTTCACAAGACTGTTGTAGAAAGAAAACCAACTCATCCTCCCCTTTTGTTCGTGAGTAGTTTCAATTTTGTTTGCTTTAACAAAAAAAAAAAAAAAAGGTTTGAATTTTGTACATTCACTAGAGTTGAATCCGCGGTACACCGCGGGGCTATAATTTTTAAAAAATTTTATTGATGTGAATATTTTTATATATAAAACCGATTGTTCATGTATGATTTTTAATAAGATGTAGCTCTTATAGTTAAAGTATAATATTATTTGGCTTTATATGACTACATATTTATAAAATAAGATTTTGACCTGACCCATCAAAATCACGGAAATTTAACCGGCAGTACACCGTATGACAAACTTTTAGTTATTGTATTTTAGATAATAATTTTCAGTTTATTTGGTTTTTAATTAATTACGGATTTTGCCCTTTTTCATAGTGGCATTTGTGGATTTTGCCCTTTTTAAATAGTTTGTAGATTTTGCCTTTTTTTAGGCTCCAAAAATATGATTTAACATGCGTTTCACTCGTTATGTTTGGGTTTAGTCGGTTCCATTTGTTCTTAGGGTTTAGTATTTGGTATAAAGTATGTATTTTTGCAAAAAAAAATCACAGAATACGTATATTTTTAAATGTTAAAAAAGGCAAAATCCGTAAACTATTCAAAAAATGGCATTTTCGTAATTTTTTCTCAAAAATAGCATTTTAGACAATAATCCCTTTGGTTTTCATTTTTAATTATTTATTTTTTTGTCTAACTAATTTATCATTTTGTTTGGACCCGTGGTATGAAACACATGTTTTTTTTTATGTTTTATACTTATAGCTTATAACTTAAAATGTGTTTATTTTATTATATTAAATTTGTTATTGGATAAAATATAAAATTGTAGATTTAAAATTCTGCTTTGTAGAATAATAAAGAGATATATGGTAGGTTAGTGTATTTTTGTTTGTTTGATGAATATACAAATTAAATATTTTTTTTAGAAATTTATCAATTAAAATTAGTTGTTTTAAAAGTAAGAAGGTGTTAGTTTGTATAATATATTGTAGTTTGTATAATAAATATGGATATCATTTGTAACTTAATTAATTCCACACCATGATTACAAATCCAAAATATAAATCAATAAGTTAATAGTTTTATTGTTGGTTTAATAGTTCAAACCCGCTATGTTAGGTCCGTCCCACAACGGGTTTAAAGATTTTTGACCCGCAAAAAAACATTCTACAAACCCGCAAAAGTATATAGTATGCATGCATCCCCTGCTTGAGTTCACAAGACTTGCGGCCATTTTCCTAAATCCCTTTTTCAATTTATTTTTTTCGGTATCACTCTTATTAATAATAATTTTTTATTTGGTAATATGATAACTAATTATAATAATATAATATTAACAAAAATTAATATTTATAATAAAAATTAATGTTAATTAAAAAACTTAAATTTTGATGATTAATTTATCTATATTATAAATTATTTTAAGAATTTAATAGTATTTATAGGTCTAAATGTGGATAATAATTAACCCACACAACGGTATACCGCGGAATAACCTTTTATATTAAAAACATAATTTATTATTTCAATGATAGACGATACTGTTAAAATAAAAGATGATCATATATTGTGTTTTAAATATATTTGATGTCATTTACTTTCTTAATTATTAAAAGCTATTACAATATAAAAAATAAGGATACTATATTTTCAAAAGTTTCAACCAATTAAAGTTGTTTATTATGTAGATACTTTTAATAGATAAACGGTTATACAAATAAGTTTAGAATTAAAACCAATGGCATTCTTTGTAAATACTTCCCAACTCCAGGATTTATTTCATAAATGTACTTAAAAAATGTATATATAGATTAGTAAATAATTTTTTTATGATTACAAAAATTATTTTCCAAGGAGTCCAAACTATGTAGTTTAATTATGTTTTAGAAAGCAAATTCTTCCTAATACGAATCGATTATGTGAATTCCAAAATCTCTACG